TATGTATGAATCCACAGAATTGAATTCCACTTTGGACAGGACACGGCTTCCCGTACACTTCAAAGACGCCATCAACTGATAGATTTGTGACGCAGGTTGTTGTAGCAGGTTTAGCTGTAAATAAAAGGAAGAAAATATCCGCCATTATGATTTTAAGCAAAATTGTCTTGTGCAGTAAATTTTGGGAATCTTTCCCCTTTAGTTTTTCAAGAAATTGCAAAAAAATTACGTTGAAGTATTAAATATTAAAAATAATTAAATATTTTCTCACACATGTCGCATAAAACTCAGCTGTTATATGTGGTGCATGCAGTTCATAATAATTTATGATTGTAATAATTATGGTAATAATAATGATAATCTCGACCGCGCCATGAACCAATCGTGCTCAGATTTCAGGATTCGTAACCGAGCCTGAACTTGGATAAAAAACATGGCATTGCTTATCAAAGTTTGTGTAGTAAATCACCTACGCGTCTACCTTGTTCATAACTTTTCATTTAGGAACAATGAAATTTTCATTTTCTTTGTTTCTTTCTTTCTGTATCTATTTATTTATTCACCAATTCATCAATTTAGGTTACTTTATTCTCTTTTTTTTTCCGGTTCATTCCCCCCTACCCGGTCCTAACATAAAACTTTACGCGAGCGATGTTGTATGGTTCGATCGCATTTTGATATCAGTCTCCTCTCTTCAAGCTGTAAACGTTGTCTTCTCTCTAATGTCATTATCCTTGATATCCTTGCTTGTCACTGTCAGTGTCTGTAAACAAAGAAGCAAGCGTGAATATGTTTTGCTGTTTCTCTCTTGTAGCCGTAAGCTGAATGGTCAAAACAGGCGATGCGTATCCTTAATTTTAAATGTCACGCAACAGTATCAGTCCTGCGTACATCCAGAAGATGGTCTTCAGATTTTCGAGTTACTTTGTCGTTGCTTTTGTAACTGTTGTTGTAGGTAAGTCGCTTGAATTTTTTCACTCTAAATGAGAGACATGACGAAGGGGTTTGTGATGACGTGCAGCCTTGTTATCGAAAGAAGGCTGCGGACGCAGTCTCACAATGCATTGTTTGTAGACGCAAGAAATGCACTCTCCGCTTTGTTGCGGAAGTGACGGATGATTTAGCTGTAATATGGTCAGTTGACTCGTTGTTAGACTATACAAAACATCGAAGTCGGTTTGGAAGTCTGGGAATTGATACTTACAATCAAAGCTCGTCCATTCATCGTAAAATAGCCATATATAACGAGGTCGTCGCACCTGCGTGACTGAAATCTCGCAGTTGTAATGAAACCTTTGTTTATGGCATTTAATTACGTACGGCTTCAAGTCTTGTCATTTTGTCTTTCACTTTTTACCGAAAGTAGAACATTACCAAATTTTTTTCTTTGGCTCATTATACAGACTATCTTTAAAATGTCAAACTTTGCTGTTCTTGTTCATATCATATGTTAAGCGTATATGGTTTAAGGCATTGGTGAACCTTGGTACTACTACAGCAATTCTATTCGTATAACAAAAACCATTGATCGTGAATTCCCCTTAAATACCAATTGACACCCAGGGAATTTTCTTCATCAATTGTTAGTACTCAGAGATAAGTGGGCACCTTCCAAAGTTTACCATCCATTGAAATTGAGGTTGCTTAACGCATCGACTCCGTTATGGTTTGTATGCTTTTGCATGAATTAATTTTAAAGAGGCAGAGTCGCGGTGGGCATGCGCATAAACCACATCAAGTCAAAGAAATATTTCAATCGTCTGCTGTCTTGGATTTCGAACTTCATGTAAACATTTGGTTTGAAACGCATCAATGATTGGTCTTAAAGTATTAATTCTGGCACACAAAGGAAATTTTTTCCCGTGACAGCCATATTTTACAAATGAAATAGTGCGTTCAAAATTGTACTGATTTCTCTCCGTCATCTTAAAATAGCTTTCTAGCAACTACAAGTTTAGAAGCTCATTAGAAAAAATACGTGCAAGAAAAAAAATAAAAAAAATAAAAAACCAAAGTCAATATAATGAAGTGTAATGTGATCTCGTAAAGGAGAATTTTTAATTATTCTGACTGCCGTTTTTTTTTTAAACTGAGAAGATGAAATGACGGATTTTCGTAGTTATTCACGCACACAAGACAACCATACATAAAGTATGCTAGATAAGTGGATACTAATTAAGATTTGAGCACAAAGAAAACACTTTACTGACCTTTGCCATTATATTTATGCTTTTTTAAAGTCTATCTCAAACATAATCAGTATGGTCATGCCAGCAGAGGTGGCTATCAATATTATACCTGAATGCTTAATGCAGAATGCTCGCTCGATAATCTGATCTGCTAATATATACATCTTATCAGACGTTTTAGTGTGCAGTAGTATCGCTGAGTATTTTTACGAGTGCTTATTTTTCTGCTAAGTCTTTCTGTCCATTTCTAAGAGGGCGGGAAAAGCAAAGCGGATAGATAAGCGTATCGCGAGCAGCCGACTGGTTAAACAGCTTTTTTTACAGTACAACATAACCAACTGTCCAAACAACCATACAATATTGTAGAATATTTGTACTCTATTCGCGCGTTATTTGTACTCTACCTTGTGCAGTTGGGTGATAATAATGGGCTAGTAGCTGATTAAAGTTAACTTTCTGTCGTGGTTAAAAGCCAAGGTATTTAATTTTCGTTGTACATTGTGTCTCAGGAGTTGATCTGCAAACATCTTGTATTTCACCACAAATTAATCACACAAACACTAAACAACAATATGTTGTGCGCGTTGAAGATTTTATTTTAGAATTATATCCACTCATACTAACAGCATGAATCTCAAAAACCGTTCAGATAACTTATGTAAAAAATTCAGAACAAATTGCTTAAATTATCAGGCTCAGCACATTGTAACAGAACTCACATTTTCCAAGATGTCGGTTGTTTGGTTTGTACTTTTATGTTCTCTGAGTAGCTTCCTTTACGAATTTTTCACAAATCTTCCTCTTCACGTAAAATGGAAATGAATGCGAACAGTCTTGCTACCATTGTCCTTACTGTCAGCCTTCAAAGACTGCCTAGAATTACATAGCGAGTTTTAAAGCAGATCTCTCCAATGCCTTGACACCCAGGTGCACGTCACAGCGCATGAGTCACCATGACACTGTTCCTTTTAAAAATTGTAATTCTGAGCGAAATAAGCTCGATGCAAAGTAAACAAGCGAACATCGGCTGGAAGAAAATGTGTGATACACAGTAACAGTTTCATTAACTAATTCTCTCTAAAGAATGTATTAATTGCTGTCACCTAAATATCTTGTTAAGAGACAAACTTTACTTGAGATCCATGACTCAATTTAAAACCAATTTAGTTTCTGCGTCGTATTGAAAGCATTCATATCTGTTAGTGTTATACTTAGGCGCCGACAAGTTAGAGTCCTCAGAAGATTGAACTTAACTTGTCTCACTTCCGAGTCTAGCTCGGTAATTAATCTTTCTCTCTGGTCTCCTTATCCGCTAATTTTGCTTTAAACTTTTGAAAGCCGTAAGAGTAAATAATTCGGAAATCAAACCTTCAATTCATGATCAATATAAATTGAACAATACTCTTGAGCTTTATGATAACGCCTGCCATAACCTTTACTAACAAGCATATTGCTATCTCTACTATTTCTGTTAAGGCAAACTCTTCGACATGACTGTGTGAAAAAGTTTGAAATGTTCATTTCTCTTCTCTCGTGAGGGGCGATTAAATTGTACATCGTTTTCACCACGCTTTCCACGCACTCAAAAACGATGACTGAATAGCCGGAGTCGTTACATCATGGAAGAGCGAAAATGCTCTTCAGGTTTCATGGGACTCTTCGGGACAACGCTCAGTCCAAGGGTGGGGAAATATCGGCCCTTGGTGCGATTCAATAGATAAGTACTGAGGTCAGCATTTTATCTATCAATAATGTGAGCCGAAGTAATTATTTATTAAAGTCGATGACCTTCATAAAATCCTCTTGTTCTCTTTCTGCCTTACATCAACTATTTCAGTCGCCCCCCCACTGACCTTTTTGGTACACCAAGAAAAAAACTAGCATATATTGTAGAGTAGCAATAAAAATTGCGAAATCCTTTTCATTGCCCTATCTAGTCATTGTTAACACCTTGTTAAGATGATGTATCTTTCCCTACCGGTCCAGAGAATTTTATCATTTTACCTGCGTGTAAGAATTGTGTTAATGAATTTCATGTAAATTACGAAATGGCATTAGCATAGTATATAACGCAATGTATTTGGTCATTCTGAGTTGTTTGTTGGAAGGCATTCCTTGGCTTACACATTCCTATTTAGAAGCTTCATGGAGGATTCTTCTGAAGACGACTCTGCAATTTTCATAACGCAAAGCCAGAAGTCGTTCCTCTCATTTTTAAACGACTAAGAAAAGGCTGCCTTTTATTTTTCCATCTTCAGAGTTCCAAAGATTCAGAAAACCAATTACGTCATTTGATCATGAGAAGTTTGAAAAAAGTTGGGTATCAGACGCAAGTTATTGAAAATGGGCAAAGAACATAGATCATAATCAGTCAGTTGTAATTAGTACTATTAGTACTAAGATTTATATTTCAAGAAAGTAAGAAACTTTGTCTCTGTAAGGTATGCACTAAGTAGTCTTTAAAAAATATTTGCATTTGTACGCCTCCCTGAATTGCACTTCATGTGATTTATGTTCAGAGTTCAGATGTAGAATACATGATAGCATCCAAGAATTTCCACAAATTACTCAGCGAAAAAGTAACAAGGTAATAACAAAGCACTTTGTGGCGAGCCCGTTGCATTATTGAAAACATTGCCACCACTGCAGGCTGCAACAGTAAAATTATTGCAGTGCAGCCAGCGCTCTGCAATATTGAGCATTTTAGCTCGTTTAAGATAACCCCTAATAATTTTCCTCCTGATAAAAGGACTGCCTCCGTTTTCCCCAGAAACTTGGAATAAACTGAATCTCAGTGAAGTACAATATATGATGGCATCCAAGAATTTCCACAAATTACTGAGCAAAAAAGTAACAAGGTAATAACAAAGCAGTTTATAGCGAGCCCGTTGCAATATTAAAAACACTGCCAGCACTCTGCAATATTGAGCATTTTAGCTCGTTTAGGATTACCCCTAATATTTTTCCCCCTCATAAAAAGAACCGCTTACATTTTCCTCGGAAACTTGGACTAAACTGAATCTGTATACCTGAAATTGCCGATATGATGAAGACAGAGAACATGAGGATCAGCAGGTGTTAAACGTTATCACCTCCAAAGTTATCGATTGCACTTACATAGCACCCAAAGGCAGTGGGTTTAAAAAAAATTGTAAGGAATATATTAGCCAGATAAACTTGTTTCTTCACCATAATGAGATGCAAAGCATCGTGAAAAGAGCCGTATTGCAGTTGTATTTTCAATGAATGCACGCACAGAAAATGAGACAAATGGAGTGGCACTGACATGTTGTACATGTATATCTAACGTGAAAGTTCGTCGAACAAAATTAGCTTGTTAAATGACTTCTATATATACTAAGAATTATTAAATCAAGCTCAAAGTAGATTGAGGTTTTTCATCTTTATTTATGAAGAAAATGATCTTTGTAATTGGTGAAGCACGACTAAATTTAGGCTTTTATTCCGTTTGAGAGATTGTTTAACATGGACCAAGTATCCTGACTCGGTAACTCGTGTTTGGAATGGTTCAACAGTTGCTTTAAAGTGGGATTACAGTCTGACTACAGAAGAACAGAATGCTGCAAACATTGCCATTAACAGAGTATGGGATCGAGGCAACGAGTCACATTTCGAGTTTGTTGCATCGAAAAACTTTATTACTGGCCAGTCAGTGGCTTATGCTGAAGACTTCGCACCACACATCACCATAAGCAGATCAGAGGAAGCCACATTGATCATCAATGAGGTTGTTAAGGAAGATGAAGGTGTTTACAAATTCACAGTGCGCTTTCTGACGTTGGGTGATCGTCGCATTTCACGAAACTTTAGCCTGGAAGTTAGAGGTAAGATAACCGTGAAGGGATGGTAATCTATCTTTATTTGATATCATTGCTTGGAAGGCACATGTAAGGCCTCTCCATGACAGCCATATGTACAAGTTCTCTCTTTGCTCCTCGATGATTAAGGATGATTTCCTCATTTTAAGAAAAAGGTAATTAACTTAAAAATACAGGTGAGTTTTTCTGTAGTTGACTAAAGAGACCTTTTAGGGTTTGAAGAAGTTTACTCAATGGCTAGAGGAGCGAAAGACAAACTGTGATCTTTAAACTGTAAGCCCTGCTGAACTGAAGAAAATTATGCGAAGATTTTATGCCAAGGTGAAAAATCAGCAGAAAACATATTTCAAACCAAGAGCCTTAACAGCTTTTCGAGCTGCTATTCATCGTACTTCTTGCTAGCTTCGCTTCGCTCGCGTAATTGTTTAGACCGCTTTGTATAGTGTTTTTCTTTTTTCAGTTTTTGTTTTTCAATGCCCTCCAAAGTGATAATAATAGTATTTGAGTTTATTTTCCTAGGCATGAATATGTTTTGGGCCCTTCTCGGAGTTCATTTTTAACCTTCGCCTGGCGGCCTAGGCTAAAATGAGTCTGAGTCGGGCCAAAACATTTATGCGCATGTCTTAGCATTAAACCCACGTGGTTGGGCAATTTTTTGCGGAAATTATGGCCAAATACGACTTCACTGCTCCCTGTAGTATGGATAGACTAAGAAAGGGGAACGATTTTGAAATTACTAGGAATAAGCTTTTCCTAGTAGTAGTGTATCGTTACTAATGCAAGCAGCACGGGACAGCATACTATATATGCAAGTTATGTCATAATTACGACGTTCTTGAATGCAAAATGAGAAAATATAAACGAGGAAAAAGAGAACACACAACAGCGTGGCTGCCAACCCCATAGTCTTGTGAGCAAGATACGAACAAAATTCTATTGTATTGACTTTTGACTTTAACGTAAAGCAAGTGTGATCTTTTTAATAGAAAACTGTACTGTTTATACTCGTACCACACTATGATTGTTGACTAAGACGAAAAAAATCTATGAGGGTTATGAATAAAGCTCTGAAAATTGCATATTGAAATTACATCTCTCATGTGTGAGTTTCCTCTCCGAAGAGGGAAGAAACTTTTTATACTTTTCGACGTTGAATTTGATTTCTGGTTAAAAAAAGTCACTAGTCCATCATATTTTCAATTAACAAAGTCCTGATGAGTAATATTGCGGACATTTCTTTTTGCATGTTTTAGTTTCTGTTTTGGAGTCGACTCTTTATTCGCAAATTTAACCTTTGAGTGAATTGACATTCCCTACCCATGTTCACGCTCAATGCAATGTAATATATGCTGAGTAGTCTCAGAGTCTTTTCTTGCTCTTCGTGGACTTCGGTCAGCGTATGTGTAAAGCGCTCGTCAAGATTGTTTCACGACCTTTTCAAATCTATCACCTATAAAGTTCCTGGCTTTATTTATTCCTTTTTTAAGTCAAGTAGCGTTATGAGGACGGTATGTAGTTTAGTAACATACCTTATTTGAATATTAGATAAGATGAACTTTGATATCCTTTGTCTCAGATAAAGTGTAGAAAATGCATACGTACATTGTTGTATAGTTCACTATGTAAGGATCTGTATGGTTATTTCTCCCGATGTACCAGTTCTCATTTACATCTTTATTGTTCATAATAATGAATGACAATAATCATCTTACGTACCCATCATTTGGATCTTATTATTATGGCAGTGCAACCAACTCTTCAGTGTCCAGAGAAAGTGAGAGTCACACAAGGAGAACAAGCCATCATTCCATGCATTGTCACTGGTGACCCAAAGCCAAACATTACTTGGACCAAGGAGTCACAATCTGGGAATGTTATTTCTAAAAATTCAACTTTGGTGATTGTGAATGCACGCATCTCTGACAGTGGAACATACCATGTCACCGCGAACAATGGAAGGAGTACAAGTGTTTTGGTGGAATTAGACATTCTATGTAAGTAAAGTACCACTTGAATGAACTAAAACTTATATCATCGATTTCATAATAGGCTTTTAGTAGTCAAGACCAGAATGGTTGATCCATAATTAAAATCACTTCATCCTAAGAAGAAAAAAGAAAGGTCGTTGGAATCGAAAACTTTGTTTTCTTTGTTTTTATTATTTTTTCTGTTGCAAAATGGTATGATATACTGTAATATCCATAAAAAAAACCTTTTGTTGAAAGATGAACTGGCAAATCTTTCTTCGCGCGTTAATAGCACTCCTCTCAATGCAGTTGGATAATAAAGCGCGCTACTCCATCGGTTTACGGTACATCTTGCAGAAGCTGAGGGGTTTTTAAAGTAGTACTAATGAAAACCAGTCTCGAACCTCCAATTTAGACATTGTGACTGAACCCCGCTGCTTAAGGGGTTCACAATTTCGCTGCAATCAATTCAAGCCAAAATTAACGTGCTCAATACCAGCAAGTCCTCAGTGCCTGACATCATTGCATCGAAGCTGTTGAGACTCATGGGCAATGCTATTGTTTCGGCCTTGACGAGGCTATGTTCGTGTAGCTGCGAAACTAAAAACTATTTTATCTCCTCGGAAGATAACATGGCTCACGCCCAGTTTACAAAAAAGATGACAAAACAGAGCGAGGAAATTATCACCCATTCTCCCTACTCAGTATTCCAAGCAAGATAATAGAATCCGAAGTGAATGACAACCTTATGAGACACATCTTCGAGGATATTAATCTCATCTCAACAGGCTGTGGGCATGAAGAATAAAGTTGAAGTTTAAATCATTCATTTTGGCTATAGTTTGCAATTTTCTGCATTTGTAGACAAAAGCCCTTTAAATTCGTTTTGAATTGCTTTAAAGTTAGATGAACTGGCAAATCTTTCTCAAATGATTGGCTGCTATTAGCCGGTGAATGAATGTGCCGGTGTTAAATGATGTCAAATTTCTAGACAGGGCCATTTATATTACTTTTATACTTTCTTTACATGTAAGAGTACTTTAAACTTTACATTAACTGAAACTGAAAGAGTACTTTATCCAAATGCTCAGGACGAATCATCGCAGGGTTTTTCGCAAATTCCTAATGATTCATATTACCTGGACTTGATCTTGTTTTCACCCAGCAAGCAAGGCCTGCTTCACGTTTTTTGTGTTAATTTGCCTATGCATGGTCTAAGGCTAAAATGTCATTTATTTGTTAAAATAGTGGTTACAGGAATGCTCTGAAAGTTAATTAACCAATAATAATTTGCCATTTTGTATAATCACATCTACACTGGGTTGCCATCATGAATTCCTCCTGTCTTTAACTTTATAGCCGCTCCAAAGATGACAAATCTTACCATTGAGAGCAATCCAAAAAACACCACAGTACTTTTGAACAGCAGCTTGACACTTCTCTGTGTCACAAATGCAAACCCACCCGCTGTATATCACCTGTATTTAAATGAGACTTATATTGGCAACAGCAGCTCTGGAGTGTTTAACATCACTGTTGAAGGCGATGGAGTGTACACTTGTGTTCCATTAAACGTATTTGGCACGGGAAGCAATGATACTCTTAATTTTGTTGTTGTTGGTGAGTGACCTTGTATCTTTAATTTACAGGAACTAACATGTGTCTTGAGAGTAAGTTGGACCATCTAGTATGATTATAATTAATTCTTATTATTATAGGAAATCCAGACATGAATATACTCTGTGCTCTGTCTTTGGTCTAAAGTGTTTTGTATTCAGTTCGTCTTAATTTGGGAAGCTTAACTATATAATTCATCAAGTGGTTGTAACCACTAGCTACTTGATATCTTTTTAGGGCGATTACAATAATAACTCTTGGTAAGTAATTTTAATGACCACTGATTGGTGAAAGAGTATTTATGATTGTTACTCCGAATTGATTCCATCACAAAGGGCGTGTTTAGGAAAGCATGTGTCGGTGCTATGGATTTTGTATTTATAATATAGGAAACACGTTTTATCAAGCAGTAAGGAAGGTACAAAATTTAGTCCTTCGTTATGACCTTCAACATGAGTTAAGCTGCCACCCTTTTCTGTTGATGTGTTTATTCATTTGAAAATATACGCAAAGTGAATTTTGTTGTAAGAAAATGAAAAGCATCATTTCCTAGTTCTGAGGGAAAACCTAAGATTCAAGTTTCATGTTTGTGAGAACTATTGTACTTTAGTTCGCGAGATAGTTCTAAGACCCAAAATTCATATCCTCGAGCTCTCGTTTAACTGATTTAAAAATACTCAATTCCTTGATTATAGAATTGGTCAACGCGTGGGTTACTTCTAAATACTTCTAATTGGGTTTTAAATAGCGAAAACACGGCAACAGATTGTGGCCTATCATTGAAATTGGTTATTTTCGACCTCTTTCTACCACGAGTTGGCGAAGAGTGCTTAGCATCAAACATTTACTTTTCAGATCTGTTTCTTGCCATGTTTCGATCAGGCTCTTTTATTAAGTTGTTCAAAAAAATTAATTACATTTTCCTTGCTTACCACAACATATCTTGAAGTGACATTTATCCAAAAAAAGACCAAGTTTATTTGGCAAAGGTTGAAAAGGCCTGTTCGAACATTGTTGCTTGATATTGCTATTCCTTATGGAGAATATGCCACATGATCAATTCTGGGATAAACCGGTAGTAGCCATAATAATTCTACACTTGCTTTGGTTCTCGGCAGAACAATAGTGTCTATATCATAACAAAATACAACAAAAAACTTAATCACCTTTGAAATAGCACTGATGTTCTCTGTTACTCTCACCACTATCCGTGAATTCTCTGACTAGTTCTACTCATGTTCCAGTTCCCCCGTCTGCGGAAATATCAAACAAAACATCTGTTGCAGCTCTGGGAGAGAGCTTGAATTTTACATGTACTGCATCTGGCAAACCTAAGCCCAGGATAGCATGGACCAAGGTTGGCAGTTCAGAGGTGATCTCTCATGCATTACAGGTCACAGTCAATGTAAGCAGACCTGGGACAGAAGACAACATGATCCAGTATCAATGTACAGCCAGTAACGGAGTGGGGACACCAGCTATAGCTACAGTCAATGTTACAGTACAGTGTAAGTAAATAACTCTCAGACTTCTAGCATATTTTATATCAGCATATTGCACTCCACTAATTGAGAAGGTGGCTAGGGCTTTCAGGAGTAGTTTGAACTTGAGCTGTAGAATGAAATTTATAGGAAAAAAGAAATTATCCCCTGGCATTCTACCTTTCCTAACAGTGGCGAGAAACTTATGCAATACGTTGTTTTTTTATTTATAACTTAAATATGTGAAAGGGAAAGGTACATTAAAAAGTTACACAGAAGAGCGTCTTAAACAGCTAAATTCTTTGGGTGAAAAGATGAATACAGCAAAATATATCAAAATAGCTACGCAGAGTATTCTGCTTTTCAAATATACATCTTTTGCGTAATTAATTACTTATCTCTACTAAGCCGTTAGAGATTTCCACCAAGTATTAAACATGCCTCTGATTTAAATAGAATAGGCTGAGAAAACGAGCCTAATACCTCTATGGTGAGTTAGGCCTAATCCTTCGGGGACAAGTTTTTGAAAATTATTTATAAATTATTATTGCGCAATTGCTATGATGTTGAGAGGCAGGTATTTGCTGTTTTCAAATAGGTAAATAAATTATTTACTCATAAGTGATACAATAACTTGCTCCTCTCTTAGTCAAACCAGAGATTACGCAGTTTCAAACATCTGCTGCCAACCACAAAGTATGCAGGAATGATGTCATCAAGTTTAGCTGCTCAGCTGATGCTAATCCGCCAGTGATATCATACCAGCTGTTTGAGAACAACACTGCTATTTTAGACAAAAACCTTTCAGGAATGTGGTTGAGAAACATGTCAATCAGGGGGGTGTTCATCCACAAGTGCGTGGTCAACAACACCCTTGGAACAGTACATAGTGAATGGATTGCTGTGAGTGTAAATGGTAAAGGACTATATTCGCAATTTTACTCGGAGTTTAAGTAGAGAATCAGTCCTCTCCCCTCCCCCCCCTTAATGCTATCAATTCTTTTAAATGTACTTATCAAAGATTATCAAATCATCTAGAAAACTGAGTACGTTTTGTAAAGCCAGTGCAAAGCTGCCCTGGATAGGTATACGGGGAACCATTGACTCATATCTTTTTAACATTCACTAATCACATAACAACAGGTGACGCACCATTTCTTCCTTGGGTCACTACGAAATGAAAATTAGTCTTTGCAATTGCACATCACCTGGATGTCCGTCACTAAACTAATCTACTTTAATGACTGATATATTAAAATTCCCGCCAGTAAAACAGCTGGTAAGATAGACGCCAAGGCGCGTTATCAGGTTGTGCACGGCTTGAAACCGTGACAAATTTATGTGCTAGTTCTCGTCAAGAAAACGTAATTTTTTGCATAATAGCAGCGAATTGCTTTCAAACAAAAAGGGAAAAAAAAGAAGGTTTCTCGAGGACAAAAGTTTGAAATCCACTTAAGAGACCACCCTCTATGATAAAGAAACGTTGAGGGACTTTTTTAACATTTCTTATTTACAGTTGAGATTTGCAACATTTTGCAATAAAGTCGTAGAGTGACATCCGAGTGAGATTTGTTTTATTTTTTAATTCAGGGGTATAGCAAAACATTTATGGCCGCTTATTTAAATATAGTTTAGCCGCTGTTTAAAAAAACTGCGTCCTAAACAATCCTCAATTTAGCTGGACCTTTTATCTCAGCACTCATCTTTGTGAACAGTGTCAAGAGGGTCGCAAGCTAACAGTGGAAGGATATTTATTTGATAAAATCAAACCTCTGAAGCCCACTGATTGCGTAAAACTGTGGTTTAGGTTAGACCTCGTGTAAATAATCGGCTCTTAATGACTGGGCCCACTAGATTGGTTTAAAATGTGCTTACTACTTGGTTCTTGACTGACAGGGCCTCCAGCTATACAAGCAATAGAAAATCAGACATTAACTGAAGGGGGCAATATGACTCTGACATGCCTGGCATCTGAAGGGCCTTCACTTGTGGTGTCTTGGATCAAACCTGATGGTCAGCGTGTTAACACAAATATCTTGAAGCTTATAACCATTAAAAGGAGTGAAGCTGGGGAATACAGATGTGTAGCCACTAATGATTGTGGGAGCGTTACTCATACAACAGGTGTTGAAGTACAATGTGAGTAAACATGTATTGCATCACTGATAATAAATCGTACCTACCTTCTAACAAGTTTGTCTCCCTTAGGTCCTGAGAAGGAGTTTGATTTTAAAAGCAGTAGCTATGTCTTACTTCAAAAAAGTGTTATGTATATAAATGGTATATTTGTTGTACAGTTCTAGCATTGTTGCTCTTGAAATGGCAACTTCAGTGTGCATTAAGTACGAAAAAACGTCAAGGAATAAATATTTTGTATTGCAAAGATATGTAACAAAAATACATGTATCAAGAAATTTAAATTTTGACAAAGATAAAATCTCCTTAATCAATCATTCAATATCTAGTCCCTTGTTGAGTATTAAAAGAAGCTCTAACCCTTATTTACATGGGCCCTTTTAACTTTTTTTACATCGTTGTTTGGTGATAGTTTATGTTACCAACATAGTTAATGTTTGGAGCTAACATTTGATGCAAGATACGTTTCATTGTGTCGTTCCTAACGGTGGTTCTGCATTTAATTATTAAAAATCATAAAATTTTACCTTCACGGCTGGTTTTCTTTCTAAAATGTTCTTGTCTTCGATGTATTGCACACAGAAAGTTAAAGGCTTCAAAAGCTTTTCGTTTGTGTTGAATTAAAGCACTTGCTAGACCTCTCAAAGTTATTCATTAATAAAACAAGATGTAAAATGATATAGTGTTGAATTTTTTAGATTTTTCCTTGATCTTGAGGAATATTTTTCCCTCAACTTTTCCGTGTTACATAGTATTTCAAAAACTGTATGCATATCGTTTATCAGTTGGTGAATTAGGGAGTCCTGTTTGTCAAATCATTTTTCGTGATTACTATCTTTCAGATGCTCCATTGGTGTCAGTTTCACCAGAGAAGGTTACCATTGTTGAGGGTAATAAGTTGTTATTGACATGTAATGCATCTGGTGAACCTGAACCGAGCATATCATGGACAAGAATTGGTAGTTCCAATGTTCTCTCTGTGTCACCATCACTAACTATTGTACATGTGAGCAGACCGGGGACAGCAGACAACATGATCCAGTATCAATGTACAGTCAGTAATGGAGTGGGTACACCTGCTACGGCTACAGTTTACGTTACTGTTTTCTGTAAGTATTCTTCTATTAGGTGTACTGTAACGGTTTTTTGGCGTCCTCTGAATTCATCCAACTTTTGCGCAACATGTAGCCGAAACAGATGATTTCTACTGAGGGTAGTTCAGATTGCCCGATATGCATGCAAAAGTTTCAGTATGCTCATTGATTGAGGACACGTCAGTTTGTCCCAAACAGTGCAGACAGTTGAAATTGAGTCTAGAGAGTTGAAATTATACTGATTGACAGGAGAGTCGCGACAGCATAACAAAATAAAATGGCGGACAGGCTAGGAGAAAGTAACAATCCCTAGCAAAAACACCAAAAAAAGCACAAACAACTGGCTTAAACTCAAGAAGTCTTGGGCTTCCAGTAACGGCTATGACAACAGCACTGAAACGTATTATCTTGGAGTTTACGCAACCGTTCGTACGAAAGACGGGGATTAAATTACGAGCGTAATAGCCTTTGCGTACTGGTTACTATTATTGAGCTAATTCTAAATGAGAAAGAGTGCAAACGCCTATTTATTCGAGAAAGAAGATTTAAAAGCTTGAAGAAAATTCTTGCGGGAAAACCCCGCCGACTCCAGCAACAACACGAAGGCAAGCGGCCGCACCAGTGAACTATAAACATGGCTAGGGAGACAACAAATTAAAGCAACACAAATTGAACGGACTTTAGAAATTTTCCCAAGTTTCAAACAAATTAGCTATACAAACAAACGCATTCACACCAGTGAACTATAAACATGGCTAGGGAGACAACAATTTGATATACACAGGATGTTGCTTTATACTATTTCTGTAGACTGCTAGTAGAAAGTGTTTATGCTGGGGTATTAAATAGTGACTCATTTTTTATCTCCCCTAAACTTAAAAAACCGTTTTGGAACAATCTCACGTGGTAAGGCCGAAAAGTCCTCGAAATCTTCTCTAATTCTTTTAGTCGACGTTTATATATACCTAATATACCAACTAATATTTCGATTTTTAAATGGGAAAAAACATAGCCGCCAACTACATGTCCTTTCAAAGCACTTTTTTTACACACGCTTCGTATAAAGGGAATATTCCAAACATAGTTAGGGAAAGAAGAGATCCATTTTTTTTTTCAATTTCAGATCCAGCAGTGATTACCAATCCAGGAATTGAAACATTTAACACGAAAAGTGGTGATATCGTCAGCTTTTTGTGTCTTGGAGACGGTAATCCTACACCAACAACTTCCTGGACAATGAGAGATGGTGTCATCGATTGGACATCTGTCAATGATCCCAGGAACGTGACCCTTGTGGTAAAAGCCTACAGCTCTGGTTGGTATCTCTGCACCGTTGAAAATAAAATGAATGCAGCTTTCAAATGGTTTCGTCTTGGTAAGTAAACTTGATTATCTTTTTGTCTGATATTTTCTAGATGAACAGACAATGCAATGTCTGCTGCCAAAATTTTGTTATGTAACACAAGGCAATTATTTTAATTCTCAGAATTGAGGCAGTGCTACATGGAAGTATCCACTGTCTTCTTCTCCTTCTTAAACTTCTCTTCCTTCCCATTTGATTTCATTGAGGTCAGAATAGTCATTGATATCTGGGAATCGAGAACAGAAACCGGACATTTCATTTTTAAAGAAGTCAAAAAAGGTTAGGGAGCAGCCCCATGCCTACGAAGTTTTGCAAAAAAAGGCCATTGTTATAGTTACTATATCTCTCTGATACATAAGATCAAAGCTCTCTGTTAGTTCGTGCTGTATGATTGATCGATTTAGCGGACCGTATTTTACTGTTCGGTCCACCAAATCTAAAACTTTGTTTGAATTTAAATCGTTCCCCACACATAGCTTGCGCTTGGGCCATAGATCCCAGCGGAAAATCAAAGTGCTCTGTGAGCAAACTCGTGAATTGACACATGATTTTTTAGATTATGTTTAATGTTATCTGGTTTAGGGAATTTTGTGGTTGATTGTCATATCTAGAGTACGAGCAGTAGTTTAGTGTTCGCTAATGTAGCAAAGAAACAAAGTAACGTTGGGATAAGAAGGCATTACAATTGAAATGATCATGCTATTACATTTGACAAGGTGGATGATGTCATGTGTTTTAAACGTCTATCATTTTTGTTTCTGGTTCAAAAGAAAAGGTTGGAAGTAAATGTGGGTGAAAAGTGAAATTTACTGGCTTTCGTTGTAAATATTAGAAAATCAAGGCAATACTGTCTTAATGAAAACATTAACAATTCCCTCTTTATCAAATGAGACAAACTGGAACGAGTTTTGAGTGATATAACTAAGCCAAGCCTGCCACCGTCATTTTAGATCTCCGCCTGGGTAGATTTAAGTCACGTGCTAGGCAACGTATAATCAATAACAAGATAGAATTTCATTTCAGGCCTATTTATCAATTTTATGGTGTGTAACTTTCGCATTTTAGTACGTTGTATGTATGTTGAATCTTCAAATTGTCTTGAAACTGAAAAGAAAATTGTTCTTTAAAAATTCACTGAAAATCGGTAGCTAAAATTGTTTGTTTAGGTGTTATTTGATTTTCGTGTTAACTTGTTATTTCGTCAGTCGCCGGCATCTTCTGTTGCTTCACACAGGAAAAACACACGCGACGAAACGTAATGATCAATTTTGTCCTCAATCTCACGCTATAACAGAAAAAGCTTTTGAACATCTGTAAACTCCGAGCGCTTCGCAGTAAGTGATATTTTCAATGAATCTTCGGATTGTTTTCAAGTTCAAGGATTGTAAATTACAATTTTATGAAAAACGAAGGTTGTTCTGTTATTTCAGTGTGAATCCTTGAATGCTTGCCAGTCGCTGGCGCCGCTTGTTGAAACTAAAAGGAAGAAAAAACTCTTTTAAGATTATCATTGGCTTCTTTTTCATCCCACCACTATTCTTAGCAACAAAGGTCGCCATTTCGTCTGTTTATTGCTCGCCAAAAACTATCAAATGCACTCAAAAGACTAAAATCTAAAAAAAGTTTACAGGAATCGACCAATCGAGCGAGCGAGCGAATGCTATTCCCCACATCGTATCTATAACTCGCTCTTGCGCATGCGCGCAATTCACGAGTTAAAAAGGCTCGGTGTGCAACTCACAGTGCAGACCTCGAATTCAATTAATGAGAAAGAGCATTGATTGTAATAATAATAGTTATAATTATAAATTTTTAAGCATGATAACAATAATATTGAATGAGGGTACCCACTCACAAAGGTGGTTTCTAGTGGTCCTCAAAACTATACGACATGGCTTTTTCGTGTTCGTCAATTTCTTATGTCTTAAGAAAACTGTGGTTGCCTTTTTGGCCTTTACAATCTTTACATTTTATCAGTGTAACGTTTAGAAACTTATGTTATTTTTACCTTGTTTTCTTCAAGTTGTAAATGACGCCAAATTTAGCCTCAAGTTAACAGTCACAAATAGAGATTGTAACAACAACCTTCAAGAAACCCTTCAACAATTACCGTCTAAAGTAAGTAAAAAAAATTATGATAACAAGCAATAGGGCACCTCGAAGAAGAATTTGCAATGTTGGATCCCTTTGCTTTGGAAATCAACAGTTCTAGTGTATGTGTCGATGAAAAATAGCGATTTCGTAAAAAGAGCACGATAGCTTTACCCATTCCAAAAAACATTAGTTTTCCTGTCGATGTTCATTAATAAAAGCACTTGGGAGGCTGGGAATGGTCATTGTTGACAAGGTATGTTTTATGATACATCTGCGGGATAAGTTCGGTAAAAATATTTTAGTTTTAGCAGTACGCCTTCTAAATCATCGTTCTCAAAAATCAAAGTTTAGGTTAAAGATTTGGCTGAATTGTAGGTATCTTTTTTAGTGCAAGCATTGGCATTCGTTGTTTTGGATATATATATTGTTTCCTCAATAGGTAGGTGACGTGCTTGAAAAAGATGTATCGGAATTGAAGGCAATAGAAGTTAAAAGCTACAAGTATGATGCATGCCCTCTCATCTTCTTGTTTTTTTTTTCAACTGCATGAGTGCTCGTTTTGTTGGGTGAAAGTCTAGGTATATAATAATACAAATTATTATATGGCAAGGTAGTCCCGGGGTAATTCCAAGCGTTTCGATTGGTTCTTGTGATTTTTGTAGGGATTTTGTCATACGCAAAGTTTCCACGGAAACGGTCATAACCGTTTTTCTTCGTGAAAGCCGGCAAATTCAAAATAAACAAGTTTTGTCAGAGTGCCATGTTTTAGACTACCTACTAACTTCGTTTTCTCGAGGCGTACTGCAACGACGACAGCCCAATATTCCGCAGTACGACCATAGCGCTCGGTTCGTAAAAAGTTATCATTTTCAGTTCTATATCTTAACAAATAGTTTTTTCGGTATTACACTTTGCCCCAGGCTCATGAACGAAGTATACATCCGCGGTTTGTTGTTTTCCCCAGGTGCGGTAGCCTTACTGTCTATTTTTCTCTGGAATTCAGTCGAAATGTTGATGTTAATGAAGTTCTATCAGTTCTAAACAACGCTGCTGTACCTGGAGTCAAAAGCTTTGGAGACTTTGCTGTTGATCCAGAATCAATACGAGTGATTCCTGATGATGAAATTCCTACCGAGTTACCTACCGGTACCAATAAAGAGCCAACGGGTACATGTACTAGGCTTTTCATGAAAATGAGATATATACTATTTGTAAAATTAATTGCAGTATAATTTGGCCTCAAATTTGATAACTGTGACATGAATCATCACTGTGCCGTTTATGACAGTATGCTATATGAACACACTCCCTAATGTAATTGGTTAAAAGCCATCAGCTATTTCTGGTAAGTCCTGCCTTTGACTTATCAAATCGATCAATCGGTACGACAATCAATTGCACTTCCTGGGGAATCAGAAATTCTTCCTTAATTTACTACGATGTTTTAATTCGAAGCCTCATTAAAAAAATAATTGCTGGATAAGAGTTTCATAGCAAAATTTTTTCAAGAAAACAACGCTCTACATGGGATGAATGTCGTACAAATGTTGAACTATTCATAAATACAGATTATGGATATGTGAAAGAATGACAAAGTTTTATGTAGCTCCCATTGAGTGCCTACATTTTTACGTCAACATCCGGGATATGGACCATGTCTTTGTCGAAAATGAACTAGTCGTGTTTGCATTGGCATATTTTATTACCTAAAATTGTTGTTGTTGTCGGTCAATCTTAACTCGAAACAGTCGGTAAGTTTTATTGTAATTCTTGTGCATTGTAATTTCGCTTACTAAGGTGTAATTTTCTGTTCGTAGAAAACCTACTCTTCTGTCAAAATTGGATGTTTACTCGGTTCGATTATGGGAACATTTGTAGACTATCATTGGAATCCCTGTAAAGAAATAGTTTGAGTTTTCGCTTTCCTAAGGGGTTGTGCGAACTGTGTAATATTTTAGCATTGGTAAAGATAACTCACATTCTTTTCTTTGAAAGTAATAAAATGCGGCGTAAAATAATGTGATTTCCTTGTTAATCATTGCTTTTATTTTTTACAGATATTAAAACTTGTGTCTGCTCTTGCAAAGATGTGTTACTTGGATCCATAATCGGAGTACTTCTTCTCATCATTTTTATTTTTATCATCTATGTGGTATGGCTACACAAAAGAGGTAAATTATTTTTGTTTTTCTTGAAGTATTATCTTCACATATCTGCTTTAATTTTGTGTGTCTTGATAATCTTCCTATTTTTCTCTTCGATAGAAACTGCTAGGAAACCAAGGTGAGATTTTGTTCTGTTGGGATGGTGAACTAACGAGTTCCGATGATACAGAGGGTCGCTACGTGTATAATGTAAAACTTGTTAAAATTCATGATAACATAAAGATAACTTTCACAATCCTTAAATTAAAAATAACTTAAACACGACCAGAGGCGAGGCTCTGCACTTCGTTAGATTTTCCTGCATTTCTAGTATGGTTTAAGAAGATTTCCATGCTGACCATAAGAGGAATGACTTAAAATCAATAATCACAATGTACGTTAAGGCAACAAATGATAATATTGTAATTCAACTGACAAAGATACCGAGTGAAGACAATAATATAATTTCATTTGTCACTAGGCAAGATACATGTATATTTAGAAAGAGAGTAAAGCGAGGAAAATTCAGAAGGATGAAGACAGTAACTCTGTTTTTATCAACATTTTTAGAACAAACGAAGACGACGGAGGAGTATATGATGTAAGGGAAATTCTGTGTACACTTCAATTTCATATTTTAATTAATCGGTGGACTTTCCTAATACACAAGGTGGTTTTACTTGAGTAAGAAAATGCCTTCTTTGGAAAAACTAGTTCAACAAGACTTCGACATGGACCATTTTAGTTTGACAAATCTTAATTTTCATGGCGAACGTTGAAATGTGGGTTGAAATAAAACCGTGTAGACTAATTTATCCATTCCGGAGCAATATAATAAAGCTATTGTATCGTTAATTTTTCAGAACGAATTTGCTCTGAAAGAACTCGAGCCTAGCTGCCCTGATTCAAGTCATTTTATTCAGCCTCATTCAGAATATATGGATTTACGACAAGCCAGCGCAGATAAAACCACAATGCCGACTGTAAGCCAAATTGGCGATTACGCGCCTCTTCACCCATCAACACGTTTATGGGAAGTTCCGAGAGATCACGTGACAATAGATAAAATCGTTGGTAAAGGTGCTTTTGGTCAGGTTGCCAAGGGAAAAGTTGTAGAACTCCGAGGGAGGCCTGGCTTGACTACAGTTGCTATTAAAATGCTCAAATGTAAGATGGGTACACTAAATTTTTTTAATTCGTTGAGATTGATTCGGACCTTTTTCTTTTTATCTCGTACAAAACATACCTAGGCGTTTACTTCATTCTTCCACCTCCTAGTTGAAGTTTACCTCGGTTCTAGTTTGGGAATAACTTTTACCCCGTGTGCTTTTAAGTTACATGTACATTTTGGAAATGAGCAGTGGAGGTAAATTAATTTTTTGGAACCGGTTTGATTTATTTCAGCTAACGCTTCCGAGTCTGACAAAAGAGATCTCATGAAAGAACTGGAAACAATGAAGCAACTGAAACCACATCCTCACGTTATCAAACTTTTGGGATGCGTTATGGAATCCGGTGAGCCAACGATGATTCAGCCACCAGTCGTGTCGTACCCACAGCCTTTTCGCACTCATCTAGGTCGTTTCGTACTCAGGAAGTTGATTCGTTTCGTACTCAGCTCGGTCGTTTCGTACCCAAACTGATAAAGTATGTTCTCCATGTTAAGTTTTTTTAAGATAAGGTCGGTTTCTTATTGTAAATAGCACTATTATCTGCGTTAAATAATGCCATATTTGAACTGCGACCATCAACTGTGAGGACTGGAACCGAAAATGCGGGGTCGGGGGTCATGGGATCATAGGATAGACGCAAAGAATACTTCATCCAGAAACATTTATACTTTTATTCAGTCCTAGATTATCCTAAATTATAAAATAATATTTATATTATTAAAACATCAGATTTTTACAGGCCATAACTGAATAACTTCTGAGGCGTTTGAACTACTGGTGATAGTAGCGTAGAAAATGAAAATTTAACGGAAACTTTGTAAGCTAAAGCTATTTCTTTTTAGAACCGTTTTTGGTGTTAATTGAATATGTCCCATTTGGAGATTTGTTGGGTTACCTGAGAAAGAGCCGTGGGCTGAATGACACTTACTTCAAAGACCCGGATATCAAACCACAAACAAATCTGACCTCACAGCAATTGATGAAGTTTGCTTGGCAAATTGCTGATGGAATGAGTTACTTGTCATCAAAATCTGTGAGTTGCAGAAAGGTTTTTCCTTGGTGGATTTATAAATCGTGAAAAACTTTTTCCTTTCTCTGCTGCTAATTCTTAGTCACTGTTTAATAAATATGCTATCCTTTCTCTACTGCTAATTCTTAGTCACTGTTTAATAAATATGCTGTGGAAAGACAGTAAATGAATGTCCTTTAGAAAGTTTCCTTTGCCCGACTCTATCTCTCGCAAGTGGTATTTCCTGTTAACTAGAGAGGGATTCATTCCTTTAATATATGTCATCTGTTGTAAGGTTTGCTTTAGTTTATTTTACTCTGAAGTTAACATAAGTTCAGACGTACATCAGAAACCATTCTGTGGTGGAAAAAAAAGATAGTTTGATGTTGTCTTTCTCTGCTTTTTACCTAAGATTAGTGTCAACATATGAACTGCTAACAATCCCGCATTTAGGGACAAAAGCATCAAGCCCGTAATTGGTATTTCTAGGTGTTAAATTTGAATTTCTGATTTCTCTTATGTTTATTCCTCGCTGTAAGATCATCCACCGAGACCTCGCAGCCCGTAATGTGTTGGTTGGAGAAGAAGAAACGTGTAAAGTGACAGACTTTGGAATGGCTAGAAATGTGCAAGAGGAAAATATTTATGAAAAGAAGACAAAGGTAATTGAGAAATAGGCTTAACCTCACCATATAACAGTTATTTATCCTTGTGGGGACAAACGTGTGGGAGGAGAACGTTGTAAAGAATACAATGGTGAATTAGAAAGATGTATTTTGCATTTTGTTATCTTTCTGCCAATATTAAAATGATCACACGCATTCTGCATTTGGTATGAAAGGGTCGCCTTCCAGTGAAGTGGACAGCTTATGAGGCGCTGTTATATGGCAAATATACGACCAAAAGTGATGTGTAAGTCTAACCTCTTTCATTGACTTTGGCTATGTTCAATAATTCTAAAAACAGTTATTCAATCGAAATTGTTAAAAACAGTTATGCTGTTGAAAGTTAAACCATGCATGACTACATATCTATTTTCTTTTTCAGTTATTCAATTTTTAGAAATGTTTTTATTGTCTCTTAGATGGAGTTATGGAGTTGTCCTCTACGAGATTTTTACAATAGGTAATGCGTCGACATACGATGATAGTTCTCGATAGCGTAAGTTTAGGTAGCAACAGAGAAGGTCTTTCACCCACAACTTTCTGTTTTATGATTAACTTTCCGTCTTAGTTTTAATGGTATTTAGCAGATTGTAGCTTTACAACTGAGCTGGGACTTTTGATTTCAAAGATAAGAATCTCCCAAATAAATCAGAAAAAGTTTGAAAATTTAACGTGAGTTGAATGATTGCTTTTCGGGATGAAGTAGAATTTTCATTCTTTCATTTAGGTCGTTATCCTCCCCTCCCCTCCCCTCCCCTCCCCTCCCCTCCCCTACTGCTTACGATAGAGACCGAAAAAACTCCTTCGGGGTTAATGCTTCATCACTAAGTTTCTCTCTGAACTTCGAAATCTCCTCATCAGTGTACTTTGGGGCATTTTGAAATGGAACCAAAGTAACAGAATCGCGATTTTGAGACAAAATTCTAAACTAGAATTCTAAAACAGGAAGTTGAGGACATGTAAAGCCCTCCTTCAATTGGCATCAGTGTAAGAACCTCTTAGGTTTTTGTACGATTTGTCACTTTTATTTTCCGAGGCTTAATATTTATGATTTCTTCGTTCTTCGCCATTCGTGAACATAACAGGTGTACACCAAGGATGAGCTTCACCTTTGTTGCTGCTAAAATGCTGTGGAACGCTTTATGCATCTCGGAAACCATTTCATATCCAAGTCACTTACTACAATGTACTCCCTCGATGCCTCTTTTTCTCTCTTTTCCCAATTTTGTACAACATCCTTTACAGTTTCCAATCAGGACTTCTTTTATAAATTTACATTTTTATCAGTCTATTCAGTGAAAGAAATACCCAAAAAGCACTTAAGAAGGCCTTTTGTAGCCTAAAATAGTATTATTTATTGACCACATCTATCAAATGAATATTTTATCTGTTGATTTGAATTAATATATTGCCCCTTATAAAAGACCTTTGTTGTTGTTATAAGTAATTAATGTCCACGTCTTTCATTAAAAGCTTTTCTCCTTTCAGGTGGTTCGCCTTATCCACGGATGGATGGCAAGAAAATTGCAAACTTACTTCAGCAGGGATACAGAATGCCCAAACCTCAGCACGTGGATGATAAGCTGTAAGCTTAATTTTAAAACTGTCAAATCAACAATTTTGTAACTGTACCATGGAGTGGTGGAATTATGTTTTCCAGTTTAAGTCGTTCTCATAAGTAAGCTGACGCGATCTCTTGTACCTTAAAACCTCTAGCTCCTGATGATTGTTGCATACTGAAATATCAAATCACGTTTTTATTTTCCATTGGGAGTATAGAAATATGAATGTTTTTTATAGATATTTTCATCTAAAGGTCGTAGGGGACGGCAAATTGAGCTTCCCAAGCCAAGAAAGACTTCATCGTGCAATCTCATAACACGCGTATGTTTGTCAATTGGTCATATACTATTTATGATGTGAAAGGATTTACCTGAATCATGATTTCGTAATCTTAAGGTATGAGATAATGATGAAATGCTGGCAAGATGACCCCAAGAGGAGACCGACATTTATCGATCTAAGAAATCAGTTGAAAGGCATGGAAACATCACATAAGGTGGAACTACTCTATTTGTCTACCTCATAAATAAATTCATCTTTGAAAAACCTGTCGTTAACTCACCTGAAAGGCAGATTTCCTGCCAATTTCCACGACTAGAATTCAAAAAGAAGTCTTAAAAACAAGTCTGGTGTAATCGGTTTGTATGCCTTTCCTGTTTTCGTCCGCAGAGGCTGATCAACATGAGGATGTACGACAACAAGTTATATGGAAACATTGAAGATTTGGTCGAATAGACAACTAGCGAAACGTCATTATCGTTGATGGAAGCGTATACTTTTAAGTTTACCCATTTTTTAAATTTTTTTTACTCCATGATACTCCCTTACACTAAGCTATAAAATGCGGGGTAAGAAGAAAGTATGTAAAAAGATGCGGCCTTTCAAAAGCCATTGAGGTAAATAAATGCATTCGATCTTTTTGGGTTCAGATTTGAACAACTACTGTTAAAATTGTCACTTTTTCATAATCATTTCCCGGGACATATTTTGGTAGTTTGTAGTGAGACATTCAGATGATTTATCACTTTATATAAATATCAGGTCTCTTTTGCCTTTCATCATCCAGTTTCGCGGCCACATAGAATTTTGAATATAATGTCAATTATCCAGTGTCTCCTTATTTGCTGAAAGCTCATGCCCTGTAGGTTGACTGATAATAATGCATTTGTTACAAGAAAATGGTTTGTAGTTGTTTCGTGCAGTGTAGTGATAAGTGTAATATTAAAATTCATGGTAGTGATAGATCTCTGTTTGACAGTAATACTTATGAGATCTGTTGTTAGTTCAATCTCTTCGCTATCAACACTGGTAATTAATTATCAAATTGCAAACTTAAAGGCAAGGTAATAGATTACAGAAAAGGCGAAAAAAAGGAGGATGCATTTGCACACAGTTTGAAACTAGAATTCTTTTACCTCTGAATAATATTATTCAACTATGTTAACCCGAATCGGGTGGGAGAGGCCCATCTTCCGTGATTCAACATGTTCATATAATTTGGAAATGTAATTTGTAACTCAATTCGATTATCGATATTAAGCCTACAATCAGCGCGCGTTAAAATTAGTCCTATTTATGCGTACAATACTACACTCTAAATCATCAACAAGACCTCCCTCCCCCATTCAACTGTTGCCTGTAGCTTATGGTTCATGGAATCACGATACAACATTTATTTGGGGAAAAGGGGACAAATAGGTTAATTAAACGAGGGCAAAAGACATAAAATTGAATTGGAAAGGTCAATGTGTCAAAAATTTTATCACGGATTATAGTTCAAGCTCATTACTTTTCGTTGCCCATCTCTGATCACGCAAGTAGAGCCTTGCCTTAAATGAATAGGCTCAATTCTAATTCTACCTTTATTTAATTCGGCACTAATACTCAAGAAATTCTGTTGCATGTAATTCTCTTGAAACAAGAACCTCCAACTCATATCTCGGAAAATACATCAATATGGTTATGATAGAACGATATACCTTCTTTACAGTTCACTCCATGGTATCCTTGTGGATAATATGCTTCAACATACCTTTTAAATGAACCCTGTTTGAAATGTGGCATTGTAACAGGGACAGGTTTGTAAGAATTCTGGTTAGAGAAGAAACCAACAAAATTAGGCAGTAAGATACCATTTTTTGGCAATGCTTTCTAAATCAATTGTGATTTACCTCATAATATCATATTGGAAATATTATTTATCTTTATACGTTTATTATTTATCTTTTTGTCCTTGAAATTGTTTAAGAGGAGATCTAAGAGTAGTAATAGTAGGCGTGCGATTCAATTTTATCTCTTAAAGTCAAAGTTTACCAGGAGAGCTCGAGGGAATAAGAAAGAAATTGATAAGAAGAGACCACTAAGTCCTAAAAATTCTGGTAAGTCGACGAGATCTTGCAAAACGTCTCCTGATGTGGGGTCAGTTACGATAACGCGGGGGAACTGAAAGCTGACCACGTCGACCATCAAATGATGATAGCCGACGGCTTTTTACACAAAAAACTCTCATCCGTTATTTTTATCGTTACTTTGATAGGCAAACTAAAAGGCAAAATGTAGTAACCAAATTCGTGACGATTTTGGATGACTAAATTTTAATGGCTTACTCCAAATTATCAACAGAGGTATTTAGCATTCGTGAAAAGTACGACGGAGAATTCAATCGTACAAGCTAGAATTGATCGCTCAACTACTTAACGTAAGACTGATATGAACTTGGCTGCAGCAAAAAATTGTTCAGTAGGTAAATTTTTTCAAGACCGCAAGTGGTACTCACCTTGCGGGGTTCGAGCAATTGTATGCAAAAACTACTCGTGCTTATTTTATTCTATAAAATGACACTCGAAGTTATGTGATTGCTAACTGATGATATATACAAGAAAAAAATTTATTCAAAAATTTGCAGATACCACTGTGCTTTCGGTCAAAGCTACAATTATGACGAATTCCATTTTTTATCGACTTCTCAAACTTCAAAACGTTCAAACCCCGTTTGACCGTTTAAAGGAGTTTTTCATCCTGTATCCGAATCGCTTTCGATGAAATAACCTAATCGTGACATAGTTTGATGCTACTCTGGTTTGCAGATTTAATGAACGTAACTGAAGAAGTTACAATTCATAGACCCAACGTTTCGACACTCCTGTCTAGTGCCTTCATCAAGGGTGATCTAAACGCTGCAACAAGAGGTCCTTCTCAACTCAACGACGATCGTAAGCATTTGATAAGAGCATAAGTAAGTAGCATACTCAGGCGTGCTAAACCTCCTCCCAAAAACATTCAAAAGGATGTTTTCAATGCGCTTATAGCTCTCAAAAAGGATCAGGACAGGCTCGTATTATCTGCTGACAAGGGTAATTGTGTTGTGGTTATGGACAAACAGCAATATCACGACAAAGCTTTGTCTCTGCTTAATGACAAGAATACGTATGCTGTCTTAAACTCTGATCCTACCAGTAAAACTCAAAGAAAGTTAAACAAAATGTTGCTTGATTTGAAAAAAGCTGGTAGAATTAGTGACTCTACGTACAAAATGTTATACAGTAGTGACGGCTTATGTCCACGTTTTTATGGCTTACCTAAAATTCATAAACTGGGAATTCCTTTGAGACCCATTGTCTCTTTTGTTAATTCTCCGACTTATGCAATTTCTGGTTATCTTGCGAGAATTTTGTCGCCTGTTGTTGGGAATACTGATTACACTGTCAAAAATTCCTGCGAATTTGCGGATTTCATAAGAGATAAAACTCCTAACGCTTGTGAAGAATTAGGATCTTTCGACGTTGTTTCGCTCTTCACTAAAATCCCAGTTGATCTTGCCGTTAAGGTTGCGGAGGAAAGACTCAGAGAAGATGTTTTGAACAGAGGAAACAATGACAAAAACAATACATTTCCGGGACAAAGAAATAGTATGGGGCTTCTTTGCCTGTGGAGGATATTATTCATCTGCTGTCTTTTTGCCACAAAACCACGCAATTTACATATAACGGCACCTACTATCAACAAGTTTTTGGAACAGCGATGGGTTCGCCCGTCTCTGCTGTCATTGCTAACATGGTAATGGAAGACGTGGAACAAAGGGCCTTAACCACTTAATCGGTTAAACCCTTTTCCTGGAAACGATATGTCGATGATGTTATTTCTGCGGTATCCGGAAATGAAGCGGGGCGCCTCTTGTCGCATTTGAATTCATTAGAGCCGTCGATCCAATTCACCCTTGAGTGTGAAAAGGATAGACATTTGCCCTTTCTTGATTTAAATGTGCCCAGAGGGGTTCAGGGTAATTTAGAGACAAGTGTCTACCGTAAACCCATCCACACCACACCAATGGATCTAAACACCTCTTATTTCCAAAAAGACATCCAAAATTCAGTATATTTCGAGGTTTTTTCTTTTTCAGTGCTGTATATTAGGCTCCTCTATTTTTGTTTTGGCAGCGAAAAACCCTCCCACTACGCTAGCCATAGTTCCGACAAGGAATTTTCAGTATAAAACGGGGCTCGCGTTTATTAGCTATGTCTGGGTTTCTCCGACAACTGACCGAAATGTAAATTCAATTTTTTAACTTTCTCGTATCGAGTTAAGTCTTTCTGCTTGAATTACTTCCTTTTGTAGTTTTATTTTTGCTTGGAAACTGCATTTCTCTTAGGCAATCAGAATTAAGAAATTTCATCTTGTATGAAGTTTCAATACATTTACAATGGCGTTTTTGCGAAATTTTTGAAAGATAGTTAGTCGTGCTCTTTGAAACATAACAATATAAACCGATTTAAATCGATACATATCTGTCTACTTGGAACTCTAAGGAACTTCACAGAAATTATATTTCTGAGTTATTTATCCTATCAGCTACAGTTTGATGGCGATAAACTGAGTTATGTACATTCTATTGCTGGCTGATGCTGAAATTGCTGAACTGGATGATATTTCGGAAACCATTTGTAACCAAAACTCCGCCACTGACTTTTGTACTGAAATGGGCTGTATATGACTTCATAAGAGCGCCCTTGTAGTATATGTTGACGTTTCTATTCAAATCGATTTGAACTCGAACGTTGAACCATTTACCACTTTTTGGAGTACCGCCAGGACAGGAAGCAGTGTTGGTATAATAGTTGTTCCCATTAGAGGAATAACCCACTTGATAACAGTTATTTGAGCCACTTGGCAACCTGCACATAGTAAGAGAGTAAAATATCGCAATGTATGGTTCAAAATTATATAAACCAACTATCAGAAGCTCCACAAATTCTCCCCTTCCAGATTAGTCAGTGACGATTGCGTGGAAAGGATATTAAAAGGGACTGAACTTCAAGCTTTTCATGACAAATGAATAAAATTAATGTTAATTAAGATTAACGTTAATTGGTAGAGCATCGGAGCGCGGAATCCGAAGGTCTGAGGTTCGATTCTTCATGGGGACGCAGAATTTTTTCTTTGTCCCACGCTCGTGACAAGACGGAAAAACATCTTTCTCTAGGATTAAAATGTCTGTCAAAACTATTTCATAAAATGGTATTTTAGAAAGCACACAAGTATTTGACAAACTATTGAAACATTTTTGGAGTAATGTGTAACGAGGACGTACAATGTGGCGCTACAAAGTGACTTTGTTGAGAATTTGTTGCACAATTTTTGTGACTTGTTTTCACCCATGATGCTTTGAAAGTTTCTCTAAACGAACTTGCTTACGGCTCCATCACCTATGCCCATAACCTTACTTGCTGCAGTAGTCTCACTTGTTCAGTACCGGACAGGCCACATCAGCGTAATGATTTATCTTTAAGTAACTGAACATGTAGTAATTGATAGGTTTATAAACAAATCAATGACTAAGATTCCCAGCCGAACTTCACCTTCTCTTATTTATCGACGAAAAATTAAATTTAATATTTATCATGTTACTGACAGTTTCCTTCTTCAGAGTTTAACTTTTTTTTAAATTCATTTTTGGCTGTTTCCCTCGTCCTTGCCGATACAATGTACCCTGTGGGTACTTCAATACTGTAACTGTTCACCGAAATACTAGCTGTTCACCGAAATGTAAATTGCAGGTAATATAATTAACACTTATGGTATTCATCAGCCCTCGTCGGCTTCTTTCCCCCGAATTTTCAGAAATTGAAAAAAAAAAGCCGCCGTCCTTTATTGATCTTTTGTCTTCTTCTTTGTATCCGTGAATCAATACGGTTCCGTGTAAATCACCGAGGAGAAATACCCCAGAATTAAGCGTCCGTCATATCACAGTCAAATACCAGCCATGCAATAAATGAGTCATAATCCTTGACGATGAAATCGCGTGTGGATCGTTAATCACTTAAGCGATGCTTATGATGAGATTTTATGTTTTAAGATAATAACGTAATGCTACCATGTTTACACATGTAAAAAGGGCCTCATTAAACGCTGAGGGGCTCTTAGTTGAACGAGTACGTAAACCTCAAAGGTAACTTACCTAAAATAAACAAAGTCAAAGTTATCTTCGTCAACAACGTTGTAGATCACTCCAGGATGTCCCCAATACACAATTCCTGGTCTGACCGTATTTAACAGCTCGATGTCCAGTACGTACGGACCGACTGCTTTGATGTCTTGTTCAAAAATAACGCGACAGAAGCCACTGGCGGGCCAGACGCCATGATCAGCATTTACAACATGGACTGTACCTTCCTCATTTGGATTTACATCAACACAACCTACATCAACTGTGAGCAGGGTTATATCAAAATCAACCATACATGGCGTTGGAAGACGATCTAAATATAAGTCTAGTCAGCAACTTGTTCGCCAACTCTCTTATTATAATTTTTATTCACGTCTTTCACCAACAAAAATAATTTTCAAAAATGAAACGGTAACATCGGTAAACTTTTCCCTTACCGGTTTTCATGAGGCAGTAAGAAAGAGAGACATGATGTGATCCAGGGGTAGTCAGCCAGTACCAGCCATTTACAGCCTTATCTCCTTCACTCGCCTTTATCTCTCGACAAGAATCAGCAGGGAGCTCTGAAATGGACCCGAGAGGCACTAAAAAGAAGCGACATAATCAGCGCTATAAGTCATGGGTCTTTTTATCATTTTCGTAGAGATTAATAATTTCTTTTCTGTTTTGTTTACAAAGAATGCTTGATAAAACGTCGCCTAAACTTGAAAAAAATAATAAATTGAAGAAAAAATCATTCCTCCTCCGAAATTCACCAATTTGTAATTGATACACTTTCTCTCGTGAGACAATCATCGGATAAGGAATACATTTAAACATGGTTAATATACAAAGCAGCAATCATTTCTTTACATTGTAACATTTATAGTTTTCAACACCTCTTTCGCTTGATTTCATCATGTAATATCTGTTCATATTTTCAACGAAGTCTTCCGGTCTGGCTTCTTTAGTCCTGTTGTTTAACTCACACAAGTCTTCAAACATGACGAAGTTAAGGCTTTGACATCTGACGTCAGAATTGCATGCCTCTATACAATCAACGGAGCCCGCGCGAACCTGGATCGTCCGAAATGTGTGACCCCTCAACATCTTTTGGAAGATGGAGTAGGTGTAACTTTCACATTGCTTAGAAGCAGTAGTATGGAATGACAAACACACCACGAATAGTGTAGCGATAGCAACTGGTCGGAAAGCCATCTGGTCTAGCTAAATCTGCTTGTTTACTAAGCAACCCCTGCAAAAACTAACATCAGAATAAAAATCGGCATAAAAATATGATTAGGAAAGAACGCACACAGTTGAAAAGCAAGATTAGCATTCAGAGTGTCAATGTAAAGATTGTTTTGACGTTAAAAAACGTTACGAAACCATCTAATTGCGGAACAAGGGCCTTTTGCATTTAATTATACTAAACAGATGAATATGAGTCCAAAACTAGAACTCGCAACACTCTAGATTTCTGATCCAAACATCTGCTGCGCATCATTTCAAGTTTGGCGAAAAAGATCATGACAATAGTCTGACCTTGACCCAAAATTGAGCTTGCTACTCATGAATTATTCTTAGTTCTAAGAAATTTAATGGCTGGCCAATTCTTACTCATAGTTACTTGGAATATATCGTTAACCATATTCATATAAAAAGAATGATGGAAAGAATCTCTTAAGGCGGGGGTAAACCTGAAAAAATGCCCATTTTTCACTCATTTTTCACAGCTAGGACTTAATTCAAAACTTAGGCAAACTATATATCCCTGGAAAGCTTATGACTTGAAGATCATGAAAAAAAATATTTCAGACTCAACATGTCAATTGTAATAGGATACCACTCATTTAATTGAGCCACCTGCTGGGTTCTACCAGGGGTTACTTCAGAAAAGATAACTTCTTCTGGAATTAATGAAAAATAACGTTTTTAGTATCAATTCAAAGAAGACATGTTGCTTATTGTTATAAGCAGAGGGATTTCTAATATGTTGAAAACATTTTAAATGATGATCAATTAAATTTGACATGGAAAATCAGAGGGGTGTTTCACTTCATAACTTTAAGTACATACATCATATGGAAAATTGCTCTGCTTATAACACAAAACTTATCAAAAGGAACAAATGCTGAAAATTTCAGATCAATTGGATAAATTGTTGTCAAGATATCCTTTCTGGAAGACAAAATTATTGCGTAATGAGAAAATGGCCTTTAAACTTACCGATAGCAATCAAACTTAATTTTTTACAATATGTAACCACTATAGTGGCCCAAGTGTCCATATTTTGTCCACAGGAGTATCTAAAGTAATTTAAAAACATCCTGGTTCATAAGTAACTCCTTCAGCTTCTCGAAGGGCTTCCTCTCGACGAGTCCTCAGAAGTCGCTCCCCTTGACGCCGTCTCTTTTCCTTCTGCATAACCTGCAAATCGGACTTAGCCTATCTTTTACTGTCTTTTGCATGTGTTGCCACTCTTGTACAAACACCACCAGGGATACAAAGCCTCTCCATGATTTTTAGCCTACTAAAAGACTCGGCGGTTAATGTCATATGATTTCCCAAACTGGGTCACACCACTGGATGGTGGAAGTGGACTGGATTCCTCACAGGAACTACACTGAAGGGAAAACTGTAACCCCCACTCTTGCACTTTTATCTTCCTCAAGAGTTAAGGTGCCTAAAGACAAATCAAGTGAAAATTGTTAGATAAATCGGGCAATTTTGTTATAAGCAAAGTAAAGACCTCAAGTCAGAAATACACATTCTGTGATTTTTCCCCATAATTTTTTGTTTACAGTGTATATGCACAATACCTAAAAATCTTTCTCTTACCCAATCCAAGATTTAATAGATAAATCAGTGTATTTAGCAGGGAAAAACTGGAACTATGGGTCGATATGATATGGGAAATAAGTCATAATCGAGAACAGAGAAAGACAGAGATTTAAAAAAATTTCTCACCTTTCTCACACACGTGTGCCTTTGAGACGGCCGTGGATAAATTTTTCTCATTTATTAATCTAAATCCCTCGCTTTCCTCGGTATTGAAGGTATACTCTTCATCAGAGCTGTCTAAAAGAAGCGGCATATTTCATTTTCTTTCTGGAGGAACCAACGGTTTCTTTAGAGTCCGAGTCAGAGAGCTGATTTTCATCCAGCGAAGTGCTCGGAGTTGAGGCGGCGATTTCGTCAACATCGGGAGCTGTTTCTTCAGACTCTTGTTTTGTTTTCGCCTTCCAGAAAAACTTCTCTTTCTTTTCTTCCTGTAGACAGATCTACTTTTCTCTCCGACCATTTTCGATATAACTTTTCCTTTGATTATAACTTTTCCTTTGATTGCTCCGAGTACACTGAGTGTCACATTCGACAAAAACTGCCTCTAAATCTATCCCATAATGGGTTTGACCCTAGAAAACCCTTCAGATAAGACTACATAAAGTATCTCTCGTTAAATCCTGCCCGTTTCGGAGCTTGGTTGCCAGAATAACACATCATAAACAACTGAAAAATCAAAAAATGCTCTTCTCGTTGCCATGGTAACCACACCATTAACCAGAGCGGGAATTTTGAAATCGCTCAAAAAGGCAAAAATAGTGAAAATAAGTAGAAAATTATTTTTCCACAGCGAAGTTGAATACCCAAAGCTGCAAATTCCGAGGAAAACAAAAAACTCAGTTTTTGAGCAAATTTCAGGTTTACCCCCGCCTTAACTCAAGCTGATCGCTATTCGGCTCCTAAAGAACTCTTAAGAGTAGTTTACCTTGTGTTTCTAGGACTGACCTGATCCCTTGAAGTTCTCCCAATCTGGAGTCGTAACTTGACTAAAAATTGCCAAACTGCCGGTGGTTTTTAGCTTACCTTGTTATTACGTACAAGATTCAGTTAATTTTCCCGGCGCTTCTTTGAAGACAAGTATTGACATGATATTACCTTGTGAAAAAAACCAAACATGGCCTACAGTGAGTTAAATGAAAACCCTAAATACTTGCAACATTCCTTATTTAGATCGATCCTTTTCATTGGCTGATTTTGACTTTCTGCGTAATACCTTTTTTCTTGTCATAAATAAGAAATTTCCACTACACTTCAGTAAACTCCTAAATCTTTAACTTTAGCACTCAGTTTCCATGACGACAACGTAGTCTTCACTTGTGAAACATATCGATGGAATTGAGAAACGCGAGATCCTTTGGTAATTCATTGATAAAATAGCAAGAAAAATCTATTCCTTTCTTTTCCTGCTCAAACAGTTAGCCCCTCCAGGACATGTATTGTGTGCTACAGCTCTCGGGCACAATTTCATCCCCTTTTTTTCAACTGAAGGGCGGGTGAAAATGATTACCTTTACAGAGCGATGTAAATTTTTGCCTTTCAGTATTTTAAGAACTTTTGCCTTTTGGCTATCTTTTTCATTGTGTGGTATTTACGAGCGAAGCTGATATCGTTCTTTATTATTGTAATTTACACCTTTTTATCCGAACCAAGAGGAGTCCTAACATCTTGTTATTCAACCGTGTTACTTCACATAAGCTATGAATGTTTAACAATGATTTTTCCTTTTAGCTCCCTCCCATTGAAATTGTAACGCAATGAACTCCCTTGAAACTTTTTTAAAATAGCTCAAGGATCATAGTTTTTGTTTAACATATTTTTATTAAAATGAGTAAAATACTGTTCAACGAACTTTGGTGAGCAGAACAAAATCCAAAGATTGCAGGTGAATTGGCCCTCCAATTTAAGCAGTAGGGAGCTGTATGAACTATTTTGTAAGCGACTACTCGCAGCAGTAGGAATTTAAAACACTGACCTTCATTAGACTTGACAGCTCCATGAGAGGCGATAGGACGTATAATCAAGCATTACGCTTGAAAATAAACAAAATTCAATCGATCCAGAATTATGCTTGCTTCTCAGAAGACTCCAACAGACTACTGCTTTTACATTAGACTAAGACAAGGTCGAGGAAAAGTTTCGGCTAATTCGCCATTCTCTTAAATATTTGAAACAAAAAGCTAATTCTAATTGACGCCAAGGTTAAAACAACCCTTCCTAATGAATAATTCACCCCAAGGTCTTTTCATGATCAAACCCAGAATGGCTAGAACTGCTTTTGTCATATTTGTTGTTTGCATTTTGCTCGATAGCTATTATCTTCCGTAAATTAATAGACTCAACAATTAAACAACAAGAAAATTAGTTCAATTAAGTCAAATCTTTCGACATTTGAATCGTAGCATATTGAAATACTCATTCAAAGTAGTCTCTTAAAGCCTGTCTAGTGTTATTATCCTTTGACGAACCTCAGTTCATTATGTTTCGGAATAAAGTCAAACGACAGAAAATTCGCCTCATTTTTTTTTTGTCTTTTAGTTACCCTCGGAGTGTGTGCAGATGATTTTACCGTATAAAATTCTGCTTGTCTGTGTACGATTCCCGACTTTCCATTTTTACTAAAAAATAACCCTTCAGATTTCCTGTAGTGTTAAAATTAAGTATCGCCCAAACTTGTTATAATAATGTATGTCTTTCTCGTTATTTATGCGGAACAGAGGATTATGCAGCCTTTATTTTGATCCTCTTTTAAACACACTTTTGCTATATCTCGTGTGCTTTACATTTTGAAAAACCTTGTTTTAAAAACGAATATTTAAACCATCTAGGATTCCTTGAAATTATATGTTATTATATTATATTCCTTGCAAAATTATATGTTCCATGTCATGATGTTCCAAAATAATTCGAGCACATGTTATGAAATTCTTGAATAGTGTAATATCTTTAAAACCTTTTCAAATCAAATATTGCTTCAAATTCTTTTGCCTACCCCTATGATGAACTGGAGTAGTGATTTCATAACACATTAACTGAATCAACCACATACAAGTGCCTAGCTATCCAACCCATAACGTACCCTAATAAAAGCTCTGCCAAACACTAAGTGTGGGTTTATTCCATTCCTTCATAAGATAACACAAGTTAAATCCCAAGTTGTCTACTATGTGTTGCGTACCCAGAGCAGCGGACACTGAGTGTTGTGGACTGGAGTTTGGGAAGTGTCAACCACAACAACACAAGTTGACCATCCAGCGTTTAATGTGATCGTCAACTCGTTTGAATATTGTACACATGCGGTGAAAAGTCTGATCCTGTCTTTGAGGGCTTAAAGAAACTCTGCCGTTACGTAACTCAGACAAGTGAAACTTCTGTCA